AAAAAGGAGAGAGATATACGGAGAGTATGAGTTAACAGGGAGCCGACCATAAGGGAACTGACGGACAGGAATCCGGGGAGAGCCACCCATCCAAGGAGAGGTGGTGGACCGAAGTGTCGGGTGCACAGGGTGTGTGCCTATGTGGTGTTGATGACTAGCTAGAAGGACTACTAATCGGGCGGCTACAAATCAGGTTCACTTTTCTGAACCAGAGTTGCACCGCCCGACACCAATTTTCTTTTTCCCTTCCCTCCCGCCGGGTAAATTGGATGGAAGTAGGTCTGTCTGTGATACATGCAGCAGGCCTCTCTGGTATAACCAGGGCCATTGCCTTTGCCTGGATCCTAGTCTGGAGGGGAGGTTTACAACCTCTATAGACCCATATTGACATGATCTTGCTATAGTCTAGTAGCTCCACTTGACCTAAAAGTGGAATCCGTACCACTAGTACTGTTTTTGCACAGTCGTACCTATCCTACTTGGACACGATTTCGTTGCCATGCCGCCACTATCTTCTTATCCATCGGACGCTCAGAGCCCGCACACGGCCACATTATCGAGGCCATAGATTGATCGATGAGTTGCACTCAGAGCGGTGGAGACAAAACAAACAACAAGCAACTCTGGATACTCTTATGCATATCTCCTCAACACTGGAGCTCTCTGGATGCTGTGGATCTCAACAAAGTCATTACAAACTGTAGTTTCTACCTTAGAATAAGCAACCTTGTCAGCATCACCAGCAACCTCCGAAAACCTATTGATCAAAGGTCACAACTTTTCCAGCGCACAAAATCGAAGCACCTGATCCATCAATCGACATCCTTCACTTTCAACTCCCCCAGTCCAGTAGTATTCATCACGCTTGCAGCCCAGTACAAGCTCCAACGATTCATTGCAGCTATTTACCTCTAGAATCTTACTAAATCTCCTATTCCACACCACCAGCTTTTCACAATGGTTGATCGAGGACATTTGGACCAGCAAGTCAACATCCGCTTCCAGGAGGAAGAAGGAATTACAATCAACGCCCCTGTCCGCCAGCGTTTCATGCCACATGGATTTGAACCAACAGAATGGTCCGTCATCTGTGGACGTGGACGAGACTGCTATGACCATGGTAAGTCAGGAAGAGCGCTATTGCTACATGGAGTATCCCCTTTGCTGGATGGAGCCAATGATATGCGGTACCGGTAGCTCACACAAATCCTTGATTTCGCTAAACTTTCAGCTGGAAACAGACGCCTGCGCGTAATGGTAGAAGAGAACCTGGACAAGTACCAAGAAACTAAGAACAAGTTTCAAAAGACCCTTATCGTTACGTCAATTATCGACACCGTGAGAGAAGCCTGCAACAATGGCGGTGCTTTCGTTCGTAAGGTAAGCTCGAATCAGCCCTGTCTTGTTGCGTTTAATTGTTACATGCAACACGCCCCTTACGCTGCTCTGCTGCATTTTCCTTTCATCCATATCAGGACACTAAGAAAGGTCGTTGGTTTGAGATAGGAGACGAGGCCAGCCGTGAGAAGATTGGCCAGATGCTCCGCGAGGCACTCATCCGCAAGTGCCCTCAGAAACTAGAAGCTAAGAAGCGCAAGCGCCGCGAGAAAACCAAGCGATCCAGCTCGAGCACCAGCTCGAGCACCGCATCCATCGGATCCGCAGCTGCAAAGGTGCAAGAGTCTGTTTCCGCTTCGCTCGGCGATCGATCCATGTCAGCTCCTGCTGCAATGCTGCCTATGACGCGCCACCAGCCAGCTATGCAGCCAACTCCCCTACCAACAGGACCTTTGCCTACTGGTGTTGGACGATTCCTCGAATCGCAAGGTGTTATTCCACACCAAAACGATAGTCAGTACTACTTGCAGCTAGAACGGTTGCGAACGGCAAGCTTGTTTAACGCTGCTGATCTGGAACCTACGGCAATGCGTGAGCAAGTATCCCATGGCAGTCACAATACCCATCACTCCAGCGCCAATAGTAGCTTTGCCGCTGCGCAAAATGTAGCACGCGCTCCCCAGGTAGTCAACAACATCCAGGTCAACAACTTCCACCAGATGCAGCCAAACAACTATGAAGACCTTCCTCCCATGGTCTGGCCTTGGATGGAACAAGACAACTAGACAGCAGGGGATGACATGTTGCCTTGCTGGGTTTGTGTTGTCTGTCCTGTACGTTTTCCCAACCTCCCTCTCGTCGTTCTCCCGTCTTTCCTCCGGTCCCTTTTCAATTATTATCTCTCGAGTTACACCAAAGTATGTAGATTTTAAGCGGCAGAAGGCAGTGATATGATTGGCTAAAAATACATATAAGACATGTATGTACATCAGCAGTACTTAGAGACTAGGACACATTACTTTTGGAGCTACGGTGCTACCTTTTTGCCATTTCGAAACTTGTCAAAGCCAATGATCGAGATTCCCTTTGCGACCATGGCGCTCTGGACGGGTCATGGCCACATCAAATTTCATTATCTCTAGCATTGACCAAAGAAGATGGCATCCAGAGCCACCCTCGGCCACCCTTTTGCGCAGCAGCGCCAAAACCCACAAAATGGAGTAGAAATGGGTAGGCAAAGTCAGCAGCGAAACTCACTCCAGAAGAGGACTCATCAGCTCGCTGCAAACAACCACCACAAGCGACAGAGGAGATCACCAGAAGACGCCACTCAATTGACTCTTGAAGGTGCTGTGGCATTCGACCCTGTGAAAGACTGCAAGGTTTGCAAAAACCAATCACTTCGAAAGCAAGGTATTCCTGTCTCTGAGTACAAGAAACCACATCACAAGTTGTGTCCAAAGAACACCAAGACCAAAGGAGCTGGTAATTTGAATCCCCATACTCTGGCCTGTCGAGCAGAAGAAAAGCGGTTAGAAGATCATTTCAAGCGACCTCTGGGGCCACAGGAGAGAGGAAGCTCCGCGAACGTAACACCAGCCACCACAGCACAGTTCTTTTCCAAAAGAACAAACAAGAAGAAAAAGAAGCAATCTGCCATGGCTGCGCCCTCTGATGGATTGGCACCCAAATTAATCCATGATGAAGTTGCGAAAATGGTTAGTGATGCCGCCTTCATTGAAAAGCACAAGTCAAAGAGTGCACCGCTCGCTATGCTGGCATTTGCAGAGGTGATGGCAAAGAACGTTATTCATGCTGGTGATAATATATTCAGAAGCCACTTCAATGGACTTACGGCTGTGGTCCCTGATGTGGACGGTATTCTCAATCCTCATTATCACTCGATTATTGGGCAAAAGCTGCTCCTTGTCGACTGGTATCGATTTGGGCTGGAGCATGTTACATGTCCAGACAGCGACTGCACCGGCAAACTCCAGAATAAACGCACAAACTTCTCCCACAATAAGACACTCTTTCCCATCTTTGGGTTGGAGGGTGCTCCGTCTTGGTGTATGGTTCAGTCGATGTGTTGTACTCAGTGCAAACGGTCCTTCAATTCAAATTCTGGAGAAGTGCTGGTGTCCATTCCTTCTTACGCCGCCTACTGCTATCCGGTTGAGTCTAGATATGCCCTCCAAAGAACCAGTCATCTCTCGAGGAACGCAACACAAGTCTTTGGATCACTCATGGTCACCTATGCAAATGGGGAATTATGCAGCAAGTTACTCTATAATGCAATCAACAGAGAGTACATCAATCGCATCACTACGTACTATTCTTATGGCAAGCAGTACAGGGAACCCAATAAGCCCATTGACCGGTACATTGAAAAAGATGGTGTGTACATTAGACAATATCCTCCCCTTGGAGAGACCGTTCGAGACTTCTTTGATTGTGCAGCTTCCAATCCGTGCAATCCTTGGGCTATTAGCGATCATGATCGTCACATCCTTGAGATGCAAAGCGTCAAGTGTACAGAGATATTCTCTCAAGACCACACCTTCCAAGCCGTGAAGAATTATCAAGGAAATCTGGGAGCAGTTGCAGTATGGGATGTTGGCACGGCAACTGGTGAGATTGCAAGCGCTGTTTTGGTACCAACCACACAAACTGTTCATTTCAGCCATGCTGCGATTCAGTTGTCCAAAAGGCCACACTTCTCACCTTCAGCAATGTACAGCGACACATGGCCACACAAAAAAGAATTTTGGGAATCACTTTTCCCAGAGATCAAAGGTCGACTTGGTCTCTTTCATTATGAGAAGCGAATCATTTCAACCTTGCGCAAAGGTCACATTGACTGCATGGATGCCATTGCCGATCTGTTATGGTGCTTGTACCAATATGAGGCAGGAGATTACGAGCGACTTCTCGGTGCTCTCAAAAATGGATCTCTATCTTCGAACGGCAAGTGTTACACATCCAATGAGATCACTGCAATGAAATCGACAAAGGTATTCCGTGACCGCTACTCCAAACACCTTCGAAAGACATTGCACGAGCCAAACACAATAATTCAAAAGTTAGACGAGTGGTTCAACAGATACAAGTGCACGTCCTCTGATTCAGTCAACAGACCGGCAAGAGGGAGACTTGATCCAGTCAAGAAAGTCCCATTATTCACCGAGGACACCAAAACAGCTGTGGAGAACTGTAAAGAGAAAGCCATGCATCTGAGTGATCCGCTGCCACTGGATGAAATGTATGACAAAATAGTCCCACCCAGCTCCTCCAAGCATCAACTGCCAGTGTACCTGTCGCGAAGAGGAGAGTCCAAGTTAGAATGCTTTCATGACCGATTTGCCAATTTTGCGAATGGTGGCATGAAAAGAAGTCTCGCGGACAACTTGAATCTTCTGGGAACTTGCATGTACAACCTGACCATTCGCCACAAGAGATCACTCACAAGGCTTAAAAGCGATGATGCTCGACCAATTCCATTTGGGTGGGAACGAGTTGTTCCATTCTTCAACCAAAGCGAACTCTGGTTTATCAACCGTCTTGCCATTTCTTGTGGTCTCACATCTGAAGCGATGCTGCCATTCCCAAAAGCAGAGAAATTGCCAAAGGACAATGGTGAGCGATTCTTTTCAGAGTACCTCACAACACAAAAACCACGTCGGCAGAAGTATTGTCCATTAGATCGGTGTCTTTGTCAAATGTGCACCAACGGATCCCCACCATTACCTCCCCCGGTTTCACCACCAGCGATGACAGCATCGCCAGCACCTGCCGCCGCTGCACCAACGGATAATAATACAACGACTACTACCAACCGTGCACCAACCACTGCAACAGTCACAACTGCCACTCTAAATAACAATCGCCAACAACAACAGTCAGTGCAACAACAACAATTTCAAATTCAAACACCGTACGTTTTCACCAACTACGTACCCATCTTCCCTGCTATACCCTACTACCCACGACCACCAAGAATGGGTTGCTGTGATCGATACTGCCAATGGTTAATGCGGAGAGTTGGTAGACCGCCGCATGATCCTCATTGTCGACAGCGATTGAATGGATATTCCACATCTTTGTAATAATAGAGCATTCTTTTGCAGCTAGCTCGGTAGCACTATTAGTATTCAAATTAATGCCATCGGAGAAAAATGAGGAAAGGGTGGGATGGAGTCAGATAAAACAGGGAAGGGTTCGCTCGCAGAATTTTGAATTAGAAACGGACATTTTATGATCCACTTGCTGACACATTGAATACCGCAACCAGCTGCACGGAGTGGGGTGATGTCTGTTTTAGTTAGGATAC